ACAGCGGCTCTTGGCCGCTCACACTGGCTTCCAGCCACTCAGGGTAGCTCACAGCAGCCCACTGCAGCAGGGGCTGCAGCCTAAGCCAGCAACTCACTGCAGCCCAGCTCCAGGTCAAGCTGTTATTCACCATTTTAGCTGTAGAAGGCACAGCGTCGCTGGCCTGCATGTGGGATCCAAACCGGGGCCCTGCTGCTCAGAGCTGGCGTCCCAAGCCAACTCTTAACCAGCGTGCCACTCAGTCGGCCCTAATACTTTTTTAATAAATAGTTTTGCCATATTTTGTAACTGTTTAGTGAAATTAACAGATATTAAACTCTATATAGTGTTATTTCTTTTCATTGATTCGAACCTTCAGTTCTCTGTAACCTGAGTTTCTCTCTTGGCCACAGGTAGGATGTAGTTTTATCAGAAAGGAGAGTTAAATGGTATATAAAAGTAAAGTTCAAGTGAAGTAGTCCCATGTCCCATGTAATTAAATAATCTTCATGTGTTCTTCCTTCTGAAGCAATATTTCATATTGCTTCTGGCATTTCCATTTTTTATACACTTTGAAGCTTGTAATTATTAGGGTCTTAACTCTTGTGAAAATTTTTTGTTTTGTTTCTTTTAACAAAATCTACCCTCTGTGGCAATTATGTTTTCTATCACGTTTTCCATTTTCTAGTTACTTTTCTATACTGATGCTGTTAACTACTGCAGTTCCCTGAAGGAGTCATTGTTTTTTTGTAAGCAGTAGTGGTTTATTTGATGTGGCTAAATGAGTGTTTTTCTCCTTCCCACCCCCTCTTCTGTTTCTGCACTACATGATGAGTTGAAAAGGCCTTAGGTGCCCCTGAGTAGAAAATGTCCATTTGTTCTCAGTACTTTTACTGTGAATGTAAAGTTTGCTTGAAGTTTTTCTAATCATGCAGCAGAGACATCAGCATGGCCTAGGGCCAGGATCAGGGCACTACATGATCTGCAATGACACAGCATTTCTACCTGTCTTCCTTGCAAAGAGAAGAACTTTAGGATTGAGAGACACATTTATTTTAAAGAACTAAAATTTTTATTTTAAATGGATTCTTTGTAGCATTCTACTCAAGAAATTCTAATAATTTTTTAAAGGAAAGTTTCAGAGTGGAGATTAAAATGGAACTCTTAAACTTAAGCAGAAACAAGTTTCATTTGAAATAGCTAAAACTGAAGGTCAGTGACCAACAGCACATGGGTCAGTTTTCTTAGATGCCTGTAAAACCTATTGCTACCTTACGTTTTGAGTTATTAGGATCATGTGTTAAATGCCCTTCTGTCATTGAAAACACTCAAATCCCAGCCCAAATGAACCTTCCTCAGGGAACACTCAAGGACCACCAGATCTAAAGTAATATATGACAATCCTTGCCTTCAAGCCTTTCAGTCTCTCTCACATCCTGGTTTTATGGTTTTCACAGCACTTACCAGTTTCTGAAATTACGTTGGTAATTTCAGCTGTTTATTTACTTATCTACTCATTGACTCTTCTTGCTCTAGAATGTAATCAACAATTACATTGCCTCTTACTGTATCTCAAGTTTATAGAATTGTGCTTGGCATTAAATAGGTGCTCAATAAAAAAAAAAGTTGAATAACCAAATGATTCTTTACCATTTGTTAATACAGTATTCCTCCCCTCATCTGTAGGGGATACTTCCCGGACCCCCAGTGGATGCCTGAAAACACAGATAGTACCAAACCCTATATATACTATGTTTTTTCCTATCCATATGTACACTTCATGGCTTCTCTTTGGCATATCCAAATTGTCAGCATTACTACTCTTGTGCTTTGGGGCCATTATTAAGTAAGATAAGGGTTACTTGAACACAAGCACTCTGATGTTGAACCGAGACAGCTACTAAGTGACTCATCTACAGCGTGGATAATGCTGGACAAAGGGATGATTTGCGTCCTGGGCAGGATGGTGAGAGATTTCATCATGCTATGCATGATTGTTTATTTCCGAAATTTTCTGTTTAATATTTTCTGCTATTGAACACAGATAACTGAAACCTTGGGAAATGAAATTGCACATAAAGGGGCACTACCTTATATTCTTTTCCATATAGTCTTTCATTTGATGACAACCCTGGAAGTTGGAGCAGTCATTTATTAGCCACATTTTACAGGATCTGAAATGACATGCTAGGAAAAGCAGCTTTTGAACTGAAGAGTGAGGAGGCGTATGAGTATGAATATATAAATTTGTCAGGTTAAAAAAAAAAAGCTTGATCGAGGAAAAGGGCTCTCATATAACAACAGATAACATATCTACTGTCTGAGAGAAAGCAAGGGGCCACTCTCCTGTCTTCTTTATAGCAGGACAGGTGTCATATTCATTATTATAACTTCATCAATACCTACATAGCTCATAAATATGTACATTGTACTGTGCACATGGAACAGATTTAGCTTTGTTCTAAAAATGCTTGATTTTCATTCCACATTTAATAGTTCACCAAAAAACTGCTTGTAGATTCGATAACGTGTATTTTTATAATTATTGGAACCACTTTGTCATCTCAGTTTTGGGCGGCATTAGACTACGTAAATAAGATTCTGTACTTTCGTAGTACTAGCAGAAGGAAGGAGCTTAAGTTAACATGTTATAATAATAGTTGAAACCTATTATGATATAGTGGTAACCAAAGTTAATATTTAATAATATACTAAAATACTAGTTTTCTAGGAAACTATATGTTAAACAGAAATGATATTGATTCTCAATATCATGAATTTATACGGCTTTATGAGAAAAGTGAAATATATATTTGGGGTTTGTTTTTCTCTTGAATAAAATAAAAAGTACTTAATGATTGAAAGTCTTTTCTGTATCATATTTCAGGTAAGTCAGCTTTAAGAAAGTTCTTGATTATGGATTTTAGAAAATTAGTGTACAAATAGAAAATTTTTTCTATTGATGTATTCATTTTTGGAAGTTTCTTTGGAGGGTGGGATTTTACTTTTAAATAAACAACTATTAAAACTTTCTTGCTTCTGAGACTATCATCCAAAATTAATAGGCATTGATCCTAAATGTTCAAAGGGAAGAAATTGACCACACTAAAAACTGTTTAAAAATTTTTACATGGTAGTAAAACTTATTTTGAAATTTTTGATAGAGTCCCATTATATTTATAGTTCTAGTAGTTATATTTCCATGCTGTCACTTGTAATAATACAATGTCTATAACTATCTTTATATATTTAATGTTGTGGCTCACTAGGAATCCTAAGTTTTTATGTAACTAAATAGTTCTGTGTTTAAATGTCCATTTGCTATTATAATTTGGGGCAGGTTACTCATACGTTTTTTTTATTTTTCAGGCAATAATCAATAGCACCATCACCCCAAACATGACATTTACTAAAACATCTCAGAAGTTTGGCCAGTGGGCCGATAGCCGGGCAAATACTGTTTATGGACTGGGATTCTCCTCTGAGCATCATCTTTCAAAAGTAAGTTAAATCATAAGATCCAAGTGAAAATTTTCATCTTCAAGTCAGATGTCTTAAATATATAGTAGCAGATGGAGTATAAAATACAGGAGAAGTGAGTTTAATATTCTGAGAACAACTATAGTGGCTTTAGAGCAAGAAGTACGAGATCATTGGATTCTACTGTCAGTTGGAAAATTCATTACACACATTAAAAATTGTAACCATCGATTGAGAAGGATTTGTGTGGTTAACTCTGTATATGATAGGAAATAAAAGGTGGGGATTATCACTTCAGAATGGACTTATTTCAAGATTTTGCACCTTTAGTTAGAGGTGGTCTGCAAGATAGATAGACACTTCTGAATTGTGACAACTCAAGGTGGTAGTGATACAGAGTTCAGCTTTTTGACATGACAGGAGACATATATAAATTACTGTGTTCAGGGAAAATTTGTGCACTGTCTGGATGAGAATTACTTTGAACTTCCTGATGCAGTGAGTGCAGAGTGAAATTTCGTAGATACCATGAGTTATTGGAAGATACTAACCAAGTGAATTACTGTGGCCAGAAAAGTCAACAGAATACAGAGCATCACCAGGTTAAATATTGGCAATCAAAGCTGTCCTACCTATAAGCAAAAGCCCATGCAGTGTTTATACCAGCAGCACCTGGAGTTCTATGGATGTCACATGGAAAGAGTATGTAAGGAAAAGGAAACAATCTCAGGTTACTAAGATGATCAAGGAGATGAGTATTATTCGTTTTTGCTCTTCAAATTTTATGCATAGCAGACCCCAAGATTTATGCTTAAAACTTCTCTGAAACATTTAGTTAAAAGGATAAACCTACATTCGTAACACTTTATATGTAATTTGGTATACACAGGATCTGATGGCTTGGAGTTTAAGTTGTTCAAGTGCAAGGTAATCAGGCTCCTGTAAATTCACACTCTTCGTATTTACATTAAACCTAAAGCTATTTTTTATGAAATCATTCAGATTCTTAAAAATTAGTTCTTTAAAAAAGTATTTCCATGAACACTTATTGACTTATTATTAGATAGTTCAGTAGTTGAGATGAGCTACTTTGTTTCCTTTTGTTTTCGTTGTAAACATTCTTTAACACTGTCATTTTCAAATGTTTTTACCTTTCTAATATAAATTGTTTAAAGCTCAATTTTAAAGCCATTTTAACTTTTGCCTTGGTAATTTTAAGTCATTCTCTGTAGGATAATTAAAACCAACAAGTGTTATCTGATTTGGTTTCTCTTAACACCCATCTAGTCTCTAAATACATTTCTTGAGCTGTAGTAGAGTCATAAGTTTTACATTCATAGTATTTCAACATAACAAGGACACAGCCATCTGCCTGAGCATTGCCTATCCATAAACAATTCCCTTCGGAAATTATACGTTTATTCTAATACTTTTGTCATTATTCAGAACCTTTTTGGGACTTTTTTTTTGAAATTGCCTATTAAAAACTATAGCAAAAAAA